CCTGCTCTCAGTGTTATGTCTTCATTTTGTGGCTGTTAACACAGTGTTTGGTCAATGATTTCAAGGGGTTGCTGTTCTGAACTTAAAATTGTATGAAACACAGAGTAGGATGGAGTAAACAGGGGAGCTGCTGGTTGGTGGGACTGGTTGCACTGGCGTGGGTTGGATGTCTGCTTAAACAGCAAGGAGTGAACTCAGTAACCATCCTATTTCTGACACTGACCTGTTGTGGTTTATTCTCCATAGTCTATCACAGCAGATATGTCACTAAACACTTGGAAATGAACTAAACCCCTAGCTTACTAGAAAGTATCAGAAAGAATTTGTTCTCTTGACCTGTTCTACATTTTATCCATGAGGAATCTGGACTTGCCTGGCCAGATTTGGCAGTTCAGATGGACACCGAACTGAGCAAAGTCTGGATGCATTCTCTGCACCCCTGGGATGTCACTGCTGTCTGGAGGGGCTCATCGTCCTGCTGTGCTGGGGACGTGGCTCTTGCTTATCTCCCTGAGTTCCTCTGCTTCCTGATCTTTTTGATTACTTCCAATTTACTACTCCTGATGCTTCAATTTAAGAAACATTTTTTAATGAAGAAAATGGAAGGAAGATTTAGGATGTGTTTGTCTGTTTCTCGGTCTCGCTGTGCAGTTGCCTGGACTGGCATTTGCTGTGATCCGTACAGCAGTTTTCCACTGAAGCTGCTGTACCGAAAGTTTTGGCCACTAAAACTTTTCTTTGAGACCACTGAGTCACTCTGGAGCTGAAATGTAAATTCCAAATAACGTCTGCAAATGCAGGACAGCCACTGCAGTGCGCAGGGAGGGGCGGCTTTCAGAGGATAACAGCTGTCTGCTGTGCGGGAGATAACCAGGGAGCTGGTTAAAAAACATAGAGCTTCAGTCTTGTGAGACGTTTCCTCCTCTTTGTATCTGCATTTATTCTGCATCAGAGTCAAAACAAATATTTTCAATATTTTCAATCAAAGCGAAATTCTTCTTTTCGAGCCTCTTGCTGTTTGTTTTCTGTCTAGGTTTTAAAATGTTTAATTTTATTGTCTCTTTTTTTTTTTTCGGAATATACAAGTGTTATATGACACGACTTGTCTTTAAAATAGATTATTTTAAAATAATTTGGAGCAGCTGTTGTCTGGTGATTGAGTCAGATCATTTTCTTAGATTAGAATCTCTTGTTTATTTTGTAATGAAATGGTTTGACACTTGGAACAAGAAATGAAGATAAATAGTTAGCATACCAGCGAGGAAAGCAGGTGCTTATTTCAGCAGCCTTCTTATTCTAGGAAATGCCATATTTCTTCTCCACACATGTTTCAGTGCATTTTGAAATGACTCTATAGAGTCAGAAATTTCCATGGTTTCTTATTGAAAAATGTTCTGCATTTGATTCCCTGAAATTTCTCCGCCTTCAAAACTTGATATCAGCTCAGAGGAAGTTGGCATCTTCTCACCTCGCCATCATCTGATGATCCACAGCTGTGCTCTGTCAGCCACTGACAGGTTGTGGTGCACAACCTGAGCCAGCACCGAGCTGACAAACTCTCTGGATTTGGGATGGGAATGCAGTGTGGTGGTTTTGTTTTCTTCCATCCACAGGGAAGACTCCTTAGAGAAATGCGGGGATGAGAACGCAGTCAGTGCCTGCAGGAGCTTTTCACATCAGGATGCTTTGCTGACAGATTTATTCATGGGCAGGTCTACACTGATGCCTTCAGAAAAGTAGTGGTGATACACGTACAGTTTGCAAAAACAAACAGAAAAGCTCCATCCACTTCCTTATACGTGAGGCCCAATCTATAACTGATATGTTACAGCATCTTTTTGTTCTGTAAGGAAACACAGATACATGCTTTAGCACGTTGCAGATGTTTTTGGTGAAGAAATACCAAAGCCTTCACAATTAGAGATTATTCTGGCCATGAGAAGTGCATGGTGAGCCTGGGGGGCCTGAGCAGTGGGGCTGGGGGGTGGACAGCAGCAAGCAGCCTGGCTGGCTGCTGTAGAAGGGGAAATGATCCTGTTTTATTCTGAGCTGAAAGAGAATTTGCCTCCTTTTCCAAATAGTGCTCTGTTTTTGGGACCGCTTCACATTTCACCTGAGATTTTGCTGCTTAACCATCAGCACTCAGCAGTTACGGAAATGCATAGAAGCCCTCGACCTCAAAAATGTTCGTGCAGAGGAGTGTAATAGCCCTCATTTTATAAATGGCAGAACAGAGGCTCAGAGAACATGGTTGTGAAGGAGGCCATCAGCAGAGCTGGGAGCTCAGCTGCCCTCTGGCCCTTGGTACCTCCCTCACTGCATCATTCTTAGTGTGGGCAGCAGAGAAGAGCTTGAGAGTTGCTCTTGTATGAGCAATAAAATCATATAATCATGTACTTGGTGATGTTGGAGAAGGCCACTAAGATTGTCAAGTCCAGCCCCAACCCATCCCACCGTGCCCACTGACCACGTCCCTCAGTGCTACATCCCCACAGATCTGGAACACCTCCAGGGTTGGTGACCCCACCACCTCCATTGGCAGCTGTGCCACTGCATCACCACTGTTTTGGATAAGAAATTTCAACCTGAATAGGCAGGTAACAAGTTGTGTCTGCTGGCACAGTCACACTTACCCATCTCCTGTTTCTGCCTATGAAATGCTGCATAACCATGCACACACCGGCAGTTTTGTACTACTGCTCTTTACTTCCCTTCTCCCTGTTTCCATATTAAAATTAAGTGTCATGTTTTGGGGACAAGGATTGTTCTTTCTCACCTGGGTTAGTGAGATCCACATTAATGTGAATGGTGTCTGCTGCAGTGACCATCTTGCAGTTTGGTTATGGCAGGAATGTATCTTTCCTGCAGTTTACATACCCTTAGAAAAACTCATCTGGGGAAATGACTGATGTGAGTGAACAGTCTTTCTGAAAATTGGCCCAAGCTGTAACCTCGAATAATATTGGATGCGTTCTCCCAAGTGCTGCTTTCTCCTTCCCACTTTTTATGAGTTGAACCCATGCTGCTTTAAGATCCCTTGTGCTCATTTAGTGAGCAGCAAGCCTCCCCCTCTTTTTTTTTTATATCAGTGATTTTCCGTGTTACTGTTTTTTTTCCTCTCTCTCAAAAACATTTTTAGCCATTTGCCTTTAGGGGATACGCATGTATACTGATGAAGAAAAATAACTCATTTTGTAGTAACTTTAGAACTGGTAAAGGTAAGTGAATGCATTTATTTAAATGCAGATCAAGGACAGTTTCATTTTCCGCTTCCATTTATGGCCTTCTGTGCAGCGTGTTGGAAACAAACAACTGTGGTTTTGCACAGGACTCCCCGTGAGCGTGGTGCCTGGTGTCCTTGTGATGTTCCTTACCATTTCCCAAATTCCTCGTTATTTCTTTCTCCTGCAGAAGCGTACACAATTGTCACTTCTCTAACACTGTTTACAAATAGAGCATTCGGACTGCATCAGTTCGTTCCTAACAAACACAATGCATGCATTTTTCATTTTGGAGTTTGCTGGGGCCTTGGCTGGGTCACATCTCTGTGTTTAAGGTCTTTGACCCCATTCAGGTTCTGCTGGTGGAGGTGCACGGGTGCTGTTCCCTCCAAGTGCCACAGCAGTGCCTTGTGTGCACCTCGCCATGCCTGAGGACAAGGAGCAGGACTAAACATTTCTCCTCCTGCATTTAATTGCCTTGTTTCAATGATCACTGCACCAAGTTCTGTTTCTTTCTCAGGTTTCTATCAAGCAATAAAAATTTAAAAGCTGGTTGTAATTCCTGGAAAAGTTAGCAGGTTTGCAATGGGATCGCCTACAAGCTGCTTATTTATATTTCCTTTTTTATCCTGTTACTATTAAAGCCCCATCTTTTAAATATTGTTTATTTATTTTTTTCCTTTAAACAGAACATTTTCCTCCTGTCACAATACAAGCAACTTAAAAATTTTCAAAGGCTCTTTCAGCAAAGCTGGGAATTAGATTTTCATGGAGTCCTTCATAAAATATTGAAGACTTCATATATTAACATACATTGATTTATTCATAGTGTTTCATTACAAATAAGTGAGGATCCCATAATATAAGGAAAGGTTAGGAGAGCAGCGGAGCGCGTTATATTATATTGACAGCTCAGTTGAAATTGAGCTGCCTCTGGATTGAATTTGGAAGGTGAGGAAGGAATTGGCTGGTAAATAAGTCATGAGCTCTCCTCGCAAGTGTCTGCCTATCAGAGGGGCTGTCGTGGGTAAACAGAATGGAGCTCGAGCAGAATTTCAAAGGTTCAGCCTGGTTTCCCCTGAAGGTGCGTTAGCAGTGCAGAGCACGCAGGGCTGTGGCCTGGCTGGATTGCTCCCAGGCATGGTGCCATGTGTAAGCCTGCAGTCCGGGGCTAAAACTGGGAAATTCTATCAGCAGCTGTCTCGTGAGCTCAAGGAAAATGAGTGGGACTGTTGTCTAAAGGCTTGGTGATATCTATTTCGTGTGAACCTGTCATTTAATTTCAGTCTTTCATTTTGGCACGATGTCTTCAGCATAGGAGAAGAATTCGGCCAATTTTGTTGTCAGTAAAAGGCTCCTGTTTCTTCTTAAAAGCCTCCTGAAAACAACTGCTTGCTGGAAAATGTATCCCTGTGTGCACCAAAAGTTCCCCTGTGCTGTGGGGATTGTATGGGAAATTGTCACAGAAATTCTGCAGGTTGTGCTGTGCTCAGCTTCAGCTGCAGAAGTTTGGGGTTGGGAACAAAAAGCAATTCTTGGTGGCTTTTGTTGTATATCAGCACATGCTGAGATTTTAGTGGAGAGAAGAAATTAGCTTCTTCCAAAGTAAAGCCTGGAAAAATGGTGATGTTCACTTGCCAGCATCCTAACACAGGGTAGTTCACTAGGAGATGCTGCCCTTATATCTGTCCTTTTATTCTGCCCTTTTATTTTCGATCTTGAGTTCCAAGAGGGGAGTGAAATAGGGGTGCAGACAGAGGCTGGGTGCAGAAGCTCCTATCACCTTACTGTCCTTGTTCTTCATTTGCAGATTACTTACAAGGCCGTTGGGTCTCTGGATCCCAGTGCTGACCTGTCCAGCCAAAGAGGGAAAGTCTTCAAACTAAGGAATGAAACGCATCACCTCTTTGTAGGATTATACCCAGGGACTACGTATTCGTTCACCATCAAAGCCAGCACAGTAAAGGGCTTTGGGCCACCCATCACAACACGGATTGCAACTAAGATTTCAGGTATTGCTTTGGGGAAGACAAAAAAAGGAACTTTACAGGGCATTGTTCTTTAGATTTGTGAAACAACAAAAAGGCATTCAGCTTGGTGTCTCCTCCACAAGTTTCATAGGGACTGCAATCTATTATCCATGTTCGTTCAGATTACAAATGCAGAGGTTAATTTGTGGATGCCTTAGGAGGATTTCAGATGGGAATCTTTGTTAATTCAATAGATGAACTCTCAGTACAACAGATTATTCAAATTATATGCTCAGTCACAGAAGCTCCTTCAAAAATGTGGCTTTATCTCAAGAACGCACCAAAAACGGAAGTAGTGAAGTAATTGAATTAATAGCAGAAAGAGATGAAAATGAAGAAGAGAAACTGTATTTATGGGTTTCTTTCCTGAGTAAGGCCACAGAGAGGGCTTCAGGTAGGCAGACGAGGACGTCAAAGCCCTGAAATCAGGAGGCACTGCAGAGAAAGCGCCTGGGTACTCAGAAGAGGAAAGGCAATTTGGTATGGCTACCAACAGCTCAAATGGGTAAGGTGATGGTTGAGATGACATTGAACAAACATATGCAGAATTAAATATTAGAATTTCACTAAGCCAGGTTCTCTAACGGATGGTTTTTGGAGTATCTATCACAGTGACATCAAATCAAACGTTTGGGACACTTGTAATGCTGAAATACACAGCGCTGCGTATTTTCCCTTATCTTTCAGAACTGGTTAGTAAGTTGTTAGCAGTAAGTAACAGTTTAACATTTTAAGGAAATTAAATATCTCCATTCTCTGCACTACCCATCAGCAAAGCTGGAGGCTTTTAGATGTAGTACAGAAGCTCATGTCACATCCACCTGCAGTACAGCCACGGGCTGTAAGGCTGCCTGCAGAAGGAAGGCATGGCTGTCCTCTGCTCACCTCTGGCCAGAGGAACAAAACAGCACAGGAATGGGGGTGCTTTTCTCTTCTTATTCAGTTTCTTTTCATTTTATTTTTATGTGCTCAAATCTTGTTAGAAGGCTGCGTGGTTATTAAATGTATGAGCACTGAGCTCAGTTTATCATCTATGTTTCTCTGTCCTCTAAACTTCTTGTTTGTAGTAAATAGGCACAGACCCCATGCAGGCACCTCTAGCATAAAATTGTACTGTGGTATGGTCAGCCCTCTGCACGGGATTTTGAAGTTACTGTTATATTTACTTTAAGATGCAGTCCTAAAGGAAATAGAGAGAAAAATGAGATTTGCATTGACTTATTTTCACTTACAAGAATGTATTTGTAAGGCTGTCTGGAAACTGCTAGTTTTAAAATGAAAAGCCATCCTATGCAGTAGGAAAGTGTGAATGTGCGTGTTTATCTGGGTGGATGTTTGTTAATTTCTTTATTACAACTAGTTGCCTGAATTCCCAAGGACTTCTCTTTGGGCAGGACTCAGCAAAATAGGCACCACATCAGTGAGCAGTGCTTGCTGCTTTAGGGAGGTCACTGCCAAGAGTCATTTTAATGAGGCACCGTCCAACTCTTCCACGATGAGGACACAAAAATGCCATATCCTGTTACAGCATCTTGTGACAAATACAGTGCAGTTGCTGAATTGTACTTGATACCATTAGCTACTCCTGCCAAAAACGATGTTGCTTCCATTTGTTTCTCAACTAAATGGCATCTGAAAGTCAAATGGTGCGTTCTGTGAAGGAACCAGCCCAGCTGGCTGACACAGCAGAGGCCATTCAGTCGCACCAGTGCAGCATTTCAACTAGGCCAATGGAAGCTGCAGCAAAGCAGGGCCTGCAGAGGTACAGCCCAACCTGCTCGTGGTACCCGAGGAGCCCTGCAGCACTGCAGTGTCCCTTCTGCCCAGTACAGGAGCAGCACAGTTCTGACTGTGGCGTTTCCAGTGGGTGCTATCAGGTACTGGGTACTGCTGGTGCTCTGCATCTTTAAGTGACTCATACTGCTTCCCTCAGTGCACAGCACCTTCTGCAGAGGAATTCCTGCTAAGGAACTGCCATTTGTTCTGAACTCGTTGCCAGCTTATGGGTAGGGAAGTCAGTTGCTGAGCTGATAATAGGAAACACCGTGCTTAACAGTTTTCAGGCATTTAGATAAAAATCCTGATTGTAAACAGGATTACTGAGGAAATCGCTGTGAGAGGATTAAATGTGGGACCCCCACGATGCAGCTTGCCCTTGAGAGTTGTAGATGAACTGAGTGGGACTATGCTCTTCATGTAAATTCTTCTATTCGCTTTATAGTTAGGGATATTTCAACAAAGCTTACCTCTTTGGAATAAATACAATGCTGCTCAGATCCTTCAGTCTTTTTGTTCCTAAGGGATGTCTGCTACTGGGGAAGGAAGCATTAACACAATGAGTAGGCTGTGTTTCCTAGGGAAACCCGTCCCACCTTGATGAAATGACCCTAGCAGAAGGTAATAAAGCAGAAGTAGGAAGATGGCTGTGGCTAAGTGTGAGTGGTCAGTGTTTTCCATATTGCCATGGGGAACACCACTGCTGGAGTGATGGATACTGTGGTTGGTCTCTGCCCACAGCACGCGCTGGTGGACACACCATTAAAGCACTGGGGTTAAATACCCATTTGAGTGCTCAGATAATTCCATTCTCTTCTCTTTTGATGCTTTCCCACTTCATAATGTACCTTCCAGCTAATCAAGGAGACACAGCTCACACATGTGCATTAACAATTCTGTAAGATGTGAGAACTCTGATCCATTGGTACGAACAGTGAATAAGAGCTGGGTTCCCTGGGTGCAGCTTTCAACTCCGCCACTGATTCATAGGACTCAGATGGCATCTTTCAGTGTCCGTGCTCTTTGTCTATTTCTAATTTTGAAGAAATAATCCCATCCCAAAGGATTGCTAAATCTTAAAAATTCAAGGCAGGATTTTCAAAGCCAGTTTGAAGATTTGGGTGTCCTGTTTAATTTTAATAGGAAACGAGCGTACAAATTTTTTTTAAACAGTTATGACAATTTTGGTCATAACACTAAGAAAGTATTTTGATGTTTCATTTGAGAAATGTTAAACGGTCTCCAAGAAATGTTAATAGCACGTTGCCATCACTACCAGAGGCAGCAACTGGTGTCTCAGTAACGTGTTGCTCTTTGTTCTGCCACAGCACCGTCAATGCCGGAGTACGACACGGACTCGCCCTTGAATGAGACAGACACTACCATCACTGTCATGCTGAAGCCTGCTCAGTCCCGGGGAGCCCCTGTCAGGTGGGTAGTTCCTCTTCCTTCTTTTGTTTTTTGTTTTTCTATTTGCAGCATTCCCCTCTCCTCCTTCCCCAGGTTTCACTCATCTTTTATTCTCATCTGATAACGGAGCTGTTGAAAGTGAGCGCTGCCTACAAGGCCAACTTAACTGTTGATTCTGCCTTTCATGTTGCCTTTTATAAATGCATCCCGCTGCTAACCTCCACGAATGGTTGCTGATGGCATTGCATGGGGTTATTGCCCTTTCAGCATCACCTCAGGAGCCTCAGCAATACTGGAGTTTCAGTATATAGAGCTGTGTGCTGTGATGTGAGCTCAGCAAGCATGGACAAGGCTGCAGGCTTCCATCTCCTGCCCTCGTTTCTATGAGGGACAAGCCTTCGTTGTAACTATACGGTAGGAGAGCCTGAACTAATGTTTGCAGGTCATTTGTTCCAAATTTGGACATCTCAGTGTTATAAGCCAGCTGCTGCTCCCAGCTTGTTGCAGAGAGAGGAGGTGATGGAGGCTAGCAGAGTCCCTCTGGTTTAGTGGGATGCCATCAGCTGTAGGTGGGCAGTTTCCATTTGCAGACAGGAGGACTTAGGGGTAGGAAGCTATACGGGTGGAACTTGTGGAACAGGATGACGGCCTTGTAGAAAACATCTGTGACTAATTTTGTGACTAATCCTGGGCTGGATCCCATTCTTACCAGCCCCGGGGCTGAAATGGTGCATCTAGCTGCAGATCTCTGGCTGCTGAAACATGACTTAGAGGCCTGTACTCCACTGCTGTCTTCTGCTTTGGTAAATGTGCACGTGTTGAAAGGCATCAGCACAAGGGAACAAACTGCCTCTCAGAGACAGCACTCCCTTACCTGAAGCTGGCAGGAATGCCAGGCACTCCTCCATCCTCCGTTCTTTTCACCTGAGCATGTGAATTAAACTGCTTATGATAAAATTAGCTGTAGTTTACTGAGGAGGATCTGGGCTACTCTGTAAGATACCCAGCAGCCGTTACCTTCCCGTAGGCTCTTTAGGATTTCCCTTGAGTTTTCACAAGGCACTTCTTTTTTCCCTCTGAGTGGTATTTTAAAAACAAATAATCTCTTCTCTCAGAAGTGCATGGGCTTTGCACATCCCACGGATGAGTTCCTTGTGCTTTTTGGAGGCGTCTCACTAAGTGTTCAGGAGCAGATTACTCACGTGTAAACTTGTTTAATTTAATGAAGTGTCCTATCTCAATTAGTGCTCCATCTATGTCACAGCTTTTTCCCAAGTTGCACTGTTAGTTTAAAGCAAAGTATCTATTTTTTAAAAGCTGGGCACCACCCCCTTTCTAGTTGTTCTGAGAAGCAGGCTTCAACATTTCCCTTTTAATCTCTGGTACTCCATATGAACGAATTTAGGAGCCTATTTTCTGAGTCCTTTAGGGATATTGTTGTGCTGGAAAATGGCAGTAAAATCACAGAGCTCTGTTTTGTTTTATTTCTTTATATGGGGGAACGTTCCTGTATCTCGTTTTACCACCTGCTGTCTTAAGAGTGTTGCTATTTCGTCTTTTTATTGAAAGTCTTGCGATTTTTCTTGAAGCCAATTTGCTATACTTTAACCTCTTTCAGAGAATAGTGTCTTTTTCAGCAAATGCATCCATTATAAGAAAAAAAAAATCTATGAAGTTTTCCTAATTTTTCAGTCTCGCTTCTTTAATTGCATTGTGGCCTATAGTACATGTTTGCAGAGTGTAATATTTATGCCACATCCTAATGATGAGGTGACTTCCTTTATTGAGCCCTGTCCATTGACACAGAAAATGAGAGCAGAGGTGTGTGTGTGACAGGGGAGAAGTCCTCCCCTAAAATATCTCGGGGGAGATATTTAGCTTTTTATTAGCTATGACAGCTGAACAATGAATGAATTCCTTTTGCTGTATAAATATAACCTGCTCTTAGTCTAACCTCATGAAATCCAACAAATTTGACCTTGTATCAGATTTTCCCAACCAATTCCCCCTTTTTTTTTCAGCCTAATCTGCATACTTACTATATCCAAAAGCAGGTAGCACTCCCTCAGAGGCTTCAACACCATCCAGCCAATTAGAAGGATAATGTGCTATGAACTGTTGGTGACACTTAACACACAAGGATGAGGTGTTTCTTTGCTTTTTCGTAGACGTTTTTGTTCGTATTCATGCTGAGAGTTAATATACCCTCTTTTTCTTGTCTGTTGTTTTGTGTTTTAAGTTTGTTTTTCCTTTGTAAGTATAATATTTTGTATTTGTCTCTACTAGTTGTCACCAAACTGACTTTCAAAATGCTTTTAAATCTTGATGCAAACCTTGAGTGTTTCTATCCCCTCTTAGTCTGATGCCATTTCCCATTCACTTACCCAAGGCATTAGTGAAGATACAGATTGAGATTCAGGCAACACTGAGTGTTGAGGCTGTGTGAGGTAGGTGGAGGGATTCCACATGATGGGAAGGATGCCCAGAATGCCAAAAGGATGTCTGTAGGATGTCTGCTCTCCTGGCCTCTCTTGTAGGCATGGCCATGCTTTCCTCTATCCATTCCCTTTTCTACCTGACCACTCAGCCTTCCTGGGGTGTTTCAGAAAGGGCTCTTGAAAATGATCTGAAATAGATACTGCTCACAGAATCTCATAAAGCCTCTGATCTGTCACTGTGCAGGAACAGGTAGACCTCTCATCTCATCCTCTTGAAAGTACTCCGGGCAGCCAGTTTCTGCTCTACAGTGCCCCAGGTTTTCAATATAATCCTTCCAAAATGTGAAAGTAAAGAAACAACGACAGCAAAAAAACACCTTCAGTACATAGCAATTATTCTTCATATTTCTCTTAGATGCTAGGGAGGTGAAATGGAATATGTGTGAGGGGGTGATTGTAAACCAGTACCTGCCCAAAAGATAGTTATGTGACTGAGTTGTGTTATTTCATTCTGCTCTAGTCTGAGCAGCATACAGATGGAGTACGGTTTCCAAGATCATTTTTAGAGTAATATTGTAGAATATTTCAGGAAAGATTCACTGTTCTTCCTCTCACGTGAAATACGGGTGCACTAAATCCAAAGTCACTTTCAACATTGAGACATTTCTGATGTTTCCTTGTGCTCACGATCAATAACTTAAATGTGGTTGTTTATAAAACTAATGATTGTGAACTTGACATTGTTAACAAACTATAGATAAAAATCAAGACACTTTCATATGAACTAATAAAAATAATATAAACTTAGGTATACTTCTCTAGACTTTGTCTTATTGCTAGAAGAAAGGTGGAGCATCAGCAAGGCATAAATATCCTCCCTTGTGGCCTGGGCATTTCATTATTTCCCTGTGGTGAAACCCGCAGAGTTTGACACCACGTTGCCCTTTAAAAATAACTTTTGGTGCTTCTTATATCAATTCAAAGCCCGTGAATGGTGTTGTGATTGATTGCTGAAGACTGACATTCATCTGTAATAGATTCAGAAGGGGGAAAGAAGAATGCAAGTGTTCCCAATCTTTATTCCTCAACTCCTTCCTGAAAAAAATCCCAGTGTGATTTTGAAGATAATTTTGCCTGTGCATCTGTTATTGTCAGGAGGGCTGAGTTGGTCCTTCATAGATTATTCACATATGACATCTTCAGGCCTCTATTTGAGAATTTATATCTTATTCACTGCTTGAAAATACTGCTGTGAGGGATTTTATCTCCATGACAAGTCTGCTGGGCTGTTTGCTCTGTGCTGAGTATTTGGAAGTCCATCTGGTTTATTAAAGAAACCGTTGGTGTTATCCACCTATACTACTATTACAGAGAACATCACATTTTCAGAGCATGTTAGTTTTAGGGATTTCAGAGTTGAAATAACGCTCACCTTAAGGGTGATTGCATTGTTGGCATGCCATTCCATCTCCTGGGGCCATCTGCTGGGCCATTTAGAGCAGAGTCTGCAATTACGCTTTGGAGTTTGAGGTGGTAGCAAATTTCTTTGCTTAAAAAAAAAAAAAAAAGAAAGAAAAAAGAATTTCTCTGTATGGCCTTGCTGCAGTTCTCCAAAGTGTATCAGTATCCAGTCTGTGATGTTCTTTTGCACGGCAGGCAGGCACATGCATCAGGTATCTGATGGTCTTTAGGCACCTGAACCTGTGCTGGGCTGAGGAAAAGTGTTTTTAGAACGTAAGTTTTCAAACTTTGCACATGACCCTGTGCATACGTATACAGGTGTGTGTGTGCTGTGTGAGGAGGAGGTGTGAGTAATGGTGGATAAATTATTTAGGTCAGGTTTGTTTACGATGCGTTTGCGCAGTGGTTGGATACACTTAATCACTTTGCTGAGGGTGGATGGGTTATTGTATTAATGCATATCTGAAAGGAAATAAGGAAATCTAAATGGGAGAAGGGAACTGGAAGTCTTTTGAATATATTTAGAAGCACTGAGCAAAAGGTGAAACAAGTATTTTCATATCACCAGCCAGCCGGTAGGAGAAATTAATTTATATGAACAAAGCCCCATGTTGCTCATGAGTGTTATCTGATTTTTGGTCTCCCAAGCATGAAATAAAGGAAATATTTTTGGTCTGTGTGTTGCTAAATGAATCAAGAGAAAACAGTTGTGTTGTTATTCAACAGAACACCTAAGAACAGTGTTTTTTTCTGTTTTTCTGCTCAAGCTGCTCTCCAGGCAAGCAATCCTCTATGATGTTTCTGCATGTTCATGTCTTTCTACACGTAGAACAAACGAAAATTTCCTGTAATGCTGGGGAATGGCATTGCTTCCATCTTGTATTGGAGTGCTGAGACTTTCACTGCTTAACACTTGCCTTCTACTTCAGCGCGACGAAGTCGGGATGCTGAGTCTCTGAACTCATAGGCTATAATGTTCATCTTCATGTCATTCCTTCTTTTTTTTGTCATTTCAGCTACCATCTATTTGTATAGAACTTAACTAAATCCCTTTCACTGGCATCTTGATTATTATTAGTAGTAGTATTATTTTTGGAAGCATGGTAGTTCTTTACATGCATA